CTGCGGCCGGACGGCTTCACCGGGGTGGGGGGCTCGGTGGCGCTGCCAGCGTCCATGTGCGCGACCAGGAACCCTGCACCAGCCCGGGCACAGGGCCGTTATGGAGTGGGGAACACTCACGCTCAAACGCTAGTTTTCCCAAAGGCTCAAAATCCCGGTGCTGCCCCTAAAGACCTCAGAAGGTTTCCCAGGGCCTTTGGACTGAAGCTCGGAGCCAAACGCGGCACCTTCCTAGAGGATGACACACTGCTATGGAGGAGACCTGCGTAACTAGTCGGGGGGACGCAGCTAGCAGGGTCCTGAGAGGAGCCCGGAGCATGGGGATGATGAATTAAGCACCCGCTGCTAAATTGGGGATTTCCCTCCCAAGGCTACAGCTTCTGTGGGGCTGGAGAACACCGGGTTTCCCACATTTACCTGCGAACAGGGCTGCAGCCCTCTGCAGAGACGGCTGAGGGCTCTGCAGGTAGCGCTGGCTCTGCGACAAGAACCTCTGTGCGTTTTCTCCGTGTTTCATCATCTAGATGGAAAGAACCACAGGAGAGGGAAGCCACAGGCACGAGCCAAACCCTGGTGACCCTGTGCCCAAATCCTACACCCAGAGCACCAGCGAGCGCCGTACCGTGCGTTGTCCCCACACGTGGCTCAGCCCAGGTGTCGCTCACCAGATCCTTGCAGATTTTCCTCGCGTTCTCCGGGTGGCTGTGCCAGGCCTGCTCGCAGCCAACCTCCTTGGGCAGCCTCCAGCGCAGGAGCCGGGCACACTCCTGCACGGCCCTCACGCATTTCTGCGGGACAGGCAGCGCTGCCGGGGCTGCGGAGCAGCGGATCCCGGCAAGCCCTCCCGGGAAAACCCGGCTCCGGCCTCTGCCCTGCGGGGAGGCCCGTGCCAAGCCCCCGGCTCGCGAGGCTGCGGGCAGCGCTGGCACTTGCCTTGGCAATGTCGGGATTGCCCTCCTGCGAGCGCAGCAGCAGCGGCAGGAAGCTGTCCAGGAGCTCCTCGCTCTCGACGAGCTGCTGCCTCCTCTTCACCCTCCGGAGCGTTGCTCCGAAGAGGGACACGGCAGCCAGGCGCACGCTCGGCCTCTCCTGCGAGGGACACGAGCCCGGAGCGGGGGCTCTCAGGGAGACGGCTCTGCTTTGCGCGGGAAATTGGGAGAAGCCGTAACCCACCCAACAGCTCCGTCACGGCACGGATGGAAACCAGATTTTTTAAAGTGGGTACAAAAGTGATACGAGTGCAACAAGACCTTATTCCTTGGAGACTCTTCTACTCGCTTTTGGATAAGGAGAAGCTGCACAGTGAGCTGCTCCTAGCTGGTGCATCGCTGTGTTGGAGGCACCAGCACAGGATGCTCAATCTCCACTCTTTCTGCTGCCCTCATTAATACGAGGTAGTTAGTGGTCATCTTTTTGCCTACAGCCACAACATCCCGTAGGTGCAGCCCAAACAAGCTCTTTCAAAGGAGCAGTTGGGGCTACCTGCAGTTTTGGAGCAGCTCCCATTGCCCTGTCCCCAGCACCACACGATTTCCTTACGTCGTCGAAGAGGAGCCTGAGGGGCCTGGTGATGCAGCTGGCGCAACCCGCTGTGTCCAGGCCACGCAGGATATTCCCGACATTGGCAAGCGCTTCCACCACCAGCTTCCCGTCCAGTCCCTGAAGGCTGCTCATCATGGCTGGCACCAGGCCGTGGATGTCCTGAGCAGGAGGAAGGTCACACACTCCCTGATGCACCCTCTATGCAGGCTGTAGGACCAAATACAGCAAAAACCAGGCAGCTTTGGAAGCAACACTTCCAAACCCTGAAAAATCCCCTAGGAAAATAGCAATTTCCTTTAAAGGAGGTATTCGAAGGAAACCCTAGCACCGGCTTTCCATCCTATCTCCTCCTGGAGCACGCTGCTCCCGGGACAGAGAGGAGGCACGCGGGAATGTCGCAAGGGAATGGCAGTCAGGCCTGGGGAAACGCTTCCCTTGTGCTCATTTCCGTGCCGCAGCAAGGGGCGACACCTCTCAAATGTGGAAGTCAACTGCTGAAAGAAACACAGCCTCGCTCTTCCCAGGAAAATAAGGTAGCCAAAAGCAGCTGAGGAAGAGATGTAGAAACAAAAGTGTGTGCACGACAGGGAGGACTGGGATGGGGAAACAAACACATCAGCAGCTGCAGGGCTATGAAATGGGCCTGGACAAATCCAGAGCGTTACTGAGCTCTCTGGTGCAATCCACCAGCTTTTCCTGGGTAGCCGAACGAGCACGAGCCCACCTTTCTGCGCCACTTTTCCATGGTTATCAGGCCTCTGACACAGAGCACCCGCATCACCGGGTCGCAGTCCGCGAGCCCCTCGGCGAGGCGAGTGACCGAGTACTTCTGCGGGAGCCGCTTCGCCTCGGGCAGGTGGAGGAGCTTAGAGAAAAGCAAAACAAAACACATGCAGCCCAATGGGCACATGGATACCCAGTCGGAAAACAGCGAATTCCTTGTCCGCCTTGATTCCTTGGGAAAGTGCTGCCAGACTGCTCTGAACAATTGCTGCCAACGCTCCGACACGCGCGATAACAACCAGTTCCATGTCCTACATGGCCAGGCACGGATCTGCTTCCCCGTGCACACCCGCTGTGCACATGGAGACTAACAGGACTAACCGGGCAAAGAGCTCCCAGATCCCGGTCTGGGCTGCAAACTGTCCCGGGAAGAGAGAGGAGCTCAGGGTCCACATGGGCAATGTGCTCATCTCTGGCAATCCTGTTTCTTGTCCCAGAGAGCACAAGACCCCTGGAATGTTGCAGCAAGGCAAAGCATGTCTGCTGTTTCCTCTGCACTCATCGTCTCCTGGAATTTCTCCAATTTCACAGAGCGCTCCCCAGCTTCCCCTCGGCTCATTTGATCCAGGAAAGCAGATGCTGAGTTCAATGCCAGGGGATTTGCCAGGAAAGAAGCCCCAAAGCCAGTGCCTTTCTGAACCACCACGGCTCATGTTGAGCTAATGAACCTCACCTCAACAAAAAAGGCCATCGCTGTGATTTTGAGCTGCTTGTCCCCTTGTTCAAAGAATGGCACCAGATGATACAAGATCCTGCAAAGCTCGCGGAAATTGTAGCGGACCATGGCTCTGAGACAGCAGATAAAAAAGATGTTTATTCCAGGGAAAAGTCACTGGAGTCTTTCATGTGAGGGAGGGAATGAGCACAGCTGCAAGCAGCAACTTACCTTGCAAGCAAGCTCACCCCTCGGTGGTGATTTTGGGGAGTGATGAGCATGTCCCAGCCGCCCTCCCTCTCCACCAAGGCGAGCTCATGGTGGCAGCCCATCTTCAGGAGAAGGGTCTTGACGGCCTCCACCGCACAGCTGTGGAGTGAGAGCAGCACCATCAGGGAGGGATCGCGCCAGCCCCGCTCTCCTTGGGCTCAGCGTCACCGCGCGGTGTGGCAGGGCTCGAGAGCAACGCGTTGAGCACACAGATGGGGCAGAGCCACGGGGCATCTCAGCGCACGCAGTGCCTGGCTTTGGAGCCTGCAGGAGGGCGGCTCCGGCAGGGTCCTCCTGCCGTGGGCAGGGAGACTAGGTGGCCTCTTAAATTCTGGGGGGACACGGATCTGCCACAAAGCCCTCAGCGACAGTGGCACAGTTGTGGCTTGTGACCTCTAGATGGGCTGGTCCCCGGGGGTTGGACAGCTCTCTCCCAAAGAGTTCAGTGCCCACAGCAGGATGGCAAAATCAGAGCAGGGTTCACAGAGATGGCACCTCTCAGTGCTGCTGGGAGGGATGTTAGCACATCCCGAGGCGAGGAGAACCTCTCTGTCTGCCCCTTGGGATTTCTACCTTGGCCTTGGCCTGCTGGAGGTGATGGGGACCCACTGTGCCCACACAGGGTGGCAGTAGGGGTGCAGGGCATAGGGAGGGGGGCTGTGACAAGGGGCTGCCAGCACGAACTCCTGGGGTTGTCACAAGAAAGTCACTCTTGGCCGAGGATAGACAGGAGAGGGCCCAG